GTGTCATACCGTTTTTTTCACGGTTATCTACAAGAATGCATGTTGAAAAGAGACGAAAATTTAGTCTCGTAATGGTCTCAAAAGTGAGACAAAATAGAGACTAATTCATCAGTCCCATTTATGTGAAAAGTGGGATGAAAATGATCTGAGACAACTTTGAAAAGAGACGGAATTCAGTCTCTCATTTGTATAAAGTCGGTCAAGCATGTCACTTGGAATTATTTGTAATAGAGACCAAAATCTATCTGAAAATGCAAATATTAAAAAAATAAAAATTCTATATTTCTAGGATCAGTGACACAAAGTTGTACGAAAAAGTTAATACTAGCTAGTTCATAACAATAATTAATGCTTTTTGAACAAGACATTTTTGACGTTATTTAAGAATAAAATAGCACAACAAAACAATGCCTTATACAACTTAAATATTGTAATACATGTCCACTATGATCTAAAACAAACCGCAAAATATTGTAAGCACATGCAAATATGCAAAATGTTTCAAGAAAAGCACATAAGAAGTACAAAGAATCCCAAAGAGGGTAAGCCAGACATCATAACCCAAATATGGCCTCTTTTTTTTCTTTTTTTTCTTTTGCTTCCCCTTTTGTAATAATAAAACTGTGAGCATAGAAAGGTACAATAATTCTTTACAAAAAGTTCGGGGTGATACTTGTGAGTACACTTCAAAGTCCATTAGAAGTTGGGAACATTGTATAGTCATGTATCATGTGATATGGGTAACCTGTATCACCATTACTCGTTCCATTATATGGATTCGAACCGACCATTTGCCAGTGGTTAGGAATCACCCATCCCGGGCAGAGTTTTGCAGCCTATGCTCTGGATGTGTGTCCCTCATGCCATTGACGAAGCTTCCAGAATAACCACCATTGTTGAAACTATGAAAGCTCTCACCTTTTTGTTCTGAGCCCATCCCAAGACCATGCCCATCATCCAGTAGATCATTGATGATGTCGAGGTGTGGGAATTCATCCGTGAAGCCAGTGGGAGACTGATGATGCCTTGATGGAAGATCATTGCAGGTCCCGTTCTCCACGGCTATACCTATATATCACACCATATTTATTAAATTCACTACTAATCAACATATTACATCTACATTTACGCATCACATCATTGAAAAATTGAAAAAGTTAAAGCACAAATGTACTTACCTAAAACTTTTAAAAGTCATAATAGAAAAACTTTTTTGGAACAGCTAGAGTATATAAAAAAAAATATTTTTGACCCCCCAAAAATGGACTCCTTTGCCCACCCTTGAACCGACCTTAGCTGGGGGAAAGGTGAGAGACACGATTAGAGGTCTTAGTGGTAAAAACCACTTTCAGATTGAAGAAAACAACTGTCAAAATAACTAGGGTGCTATTGAAATGCTCAACTTTGACGATCACGTTACGCTAAAAAATTACTCCCTCCACCCTCATATAATTTAATTGTCGATTGAATTGCATCATAAGCACATTTGCATGTGAAACATTTTGCATATTTGCATGTCCATTAATCTTATGTTCCTCGGCTGGTGGTCCTTGCGTATCAATAATCAGTTGAGATGGCAAACCACACGTACATACTAAAGCAGAGCCTATGATGCAATTCAATCGACAATTAAACTGAGATACAGATCGGAAATACAAACGATTGGAAGATTAAAATGCTAAAAACAATAGGCTAACCGGGATTACCTTGTATTGAACGGTCCATGTTAAACTGCTGTTCTCCGTCGTGGCTACTTGCTTTACGGTCTATGATTATACTTCACAAAGATGCAATGTTTTTCATTCTTGATGTCTTTGAATAAGAATCATACTCCCTCAAATCCATATCTTTCTTCCATTTTTGCATCTTACTCTCTCAAGGATAAGGAGAGATTCTTCAACAAAACAAAACAAACCAAACCAAACCCAATCAAACATCCCTTAACTTTCATTCAGTGTGTGTATAGTAGGTAATTAAAGCTATTCATAAAACAAGCTAAGAAGTCACACAAACATAGATATATGCAGATGTTTCATTAACCCGCATCAAAGAATAAAAATGTTCGCAAGTTGCAATATAGAATCCAGAATCAATTTCAGGTCATCATATGAAGCTAATAATAAGAACATTTGAATCTCAGTGCGATTCATTTCCCTACAATCAGAACACTCCTTGAGAATCAATGGACAAAATGCTTAACAAATTATGATAAAATCGCACATAAAATTGCATTAGATCGAAAAGTTGACGGTTCAAGAAAACTTGCCAAATTACAGACAAGAAACACTGATCTTTGGTTCAGATGATAATAATAGATTTAAAAAAATAAAGGAGCATCACAAAACCTAATCAAGAGATGAAGCTCCATCAGTTGCTACCCAAACCCAAATGTTACCACTGTCAGGAGCTAATGGAGCAGCGAGGAGTTACCCAGGTCCTTGTCACTGCTGCTTGACGGTCGCCGGAGGAAGTCGCCGGAATACGTCATTCCCTGTCATCGCCGGTCGCTGCCTCTGTCACCGTAGATGCCAAATCGCTGGAATTTCGCCGTTGTGGGTCTGCATCGCTGCGTTCGATGAGGGTCGCCGGGGAGACGCTGCTGCTTTCGTCGCCGATTGGGGAGAATTGGAGAAGAAGGTTGTCGCAGCTAGGGATCGGAGAAGAGAGGGGCGGCGGAATTCTTTGATCGAAGAGAAAGAAAAAGAGGCTAAAAGTGAAAAGGGAAATTAAGAAGATGGAGGTGAAATTGGGAGGAGGGAAAACAAATTTAGGAAGAGGGAAATGAAAATTTTTAGAGATTTAGATTTTAGGGTGTGTTTGGTGTGGTTTGATGGTCATATAAGATATGAGTTTTAAAATTTAGAAGAAATAATGTAATACCATAATCTAATCAGGTTTCAATAAATCATTTCAAAATTCATATCATAAATAAATTTTTTATTTATTCTTAATTTGGTTATCAGATTCCCAATCAAGATTACATAAATAGTCAACATTCGGATTTATATTCTATGAGATTTATCGAGATTGTGATATTAGATATCAAAACATATTTCATTTCGTCCCAAAGGGCAAAAATAATTTATTTTAATTGAAACAAATTTAATTAATTGAATAATAATTCAATAATAATTTTAGGATATCAGGTTCTCAATCAAGATTACATAAATAGTCAACATTCGGATTTATATTCTATGAGATTTATCGAGATTGTGATATTAGATATCAAAACATATTTCATTTTGTCCCAAAGGGCAAAAATAATTTATTTTAATTGAAACAAATTTAATTAATTGAATAATAATTCAATAATAATTTTAGGATATGTTCTAGGTCGTTACAAATAATACGAGTTTTAAAATCTGAAACAAAGTTGTTTGGAGAGATATAAAATAGAAGGGCTGAACACATCCTCATATTTAGTGTTTCTGATATTTGATCATATCTTATTACATAATCACAACAGATCTGATGAGATTTGGTTTGATTAAATATAATATGATTTAGAATGATTGTAGTTATATGTAGTTTTATTTTGCATTGAAAAATTATACCTTTTGAATTCAATATGATTGTAGCGATGCATTTAAATATTATATCTGGCAAATAAGACACAACCTTGACAAGTAAATTGATTTTTTGAAGATTATATCTAATCTTATTGGATTTAAATTTGATTTGATCCGATTAGATCTGTTTTGGTCTTATTCGATGTAATTAGATCTGATCTGATGCATTTAATATTTATATCACAAAAATAAGACACAACCAACACAAGTAAATTATTTTTTTAAAGATTAGATCTGATCTTATTAGATTTGAATTTGATTTGATTTGACCTGTTTTAGTCTAATTTAATCTAATTTGATCTGATCTGATGTATTTATACATTAGATCAAGCAAACAAGATACGGCCTATATAATTAAATTGTTTTTTAAAGATTTGATTTTATCTTATTAGATTTGAAATATGCAGTGGCTCACATGAAATATGCAAGCAATAAGATCTGATTGAATATTATTTTATCTTATCTTATCTAGTTATATTTAAAAAAATCTTTCTAATTTGATCTGGTTTAATCTAATTTGATTAGATATAATCTAAACAACATATAAACATGATAAACTGAGATGTAGATTTAAATATATAAGCAATCAGACCCGATTAGATTTGATTTTATCTTATCTTATCTTATGTTATCTTATCTTATATAATTAAATCTAATCTTGACTGATCTAATTGGAATATATTTAATTTGCTTGATCTAATTATATTTATATTTTAAAAAAATTTAATTCGATTTGATTTAATCTTATTTGATGAGATATGGTTTGATTAGATATCATCTAAACAACATATAAACATGTTAAACTCAGATGCAATGATCTAACTTGGTATAACCTTATCTGTCTGTGTTTTTTTGAAATACAATAATCTTTTATAAATAATAATATTTTGAAATATCTTATAAAATAAATATAAAATTATTTGGTAACAATATCTAAAGTCAATTTTATTTTAGTGGTCAAAGTTTATGAATTTTTTCGTAAAATTCAAAACTAATGGTCAAAGTTTATTTTAGTGGTCAAAGTTTATCTAAAGCCTCTTAATGGTTCAGATGTCTGAATGGTTAAGAGATTTGCCTCTGAATGATTAAGTATTATACAGAGTCTGAATGGTTAAGACTTCTTATCTGAATTGATAAGACATTTGCCTCTGAATAGTTAAGCAATATACTAGCTCTTAATGGTTCAGACCTCTTACTGATTCAGCACTTAATGGTTCAGACCTCTTACTGGTTCAGCACTTACCGATTCAGAAGTTGCCAAACAGCCCCTTAAAGTGAAAGACTCATTGGTACTAACTAATCGAGAGAATTAAGACGGACCAAGTGAAACCTATAAATGCTTGTTGAATGATTATAAAAGTTATACTGTTGAGTAGGGATCGACGAATCAAATCCAACGATACAAACTGATCTCAATTCAAAGCAAGTTGGCACGAAAAGTGTGTTTTACTCAGACACGTTATTTTAAATTACTGAGAGCAAAACCCTAGGCATATATATACTCTTTTCACGCGTTAGTTTTGGGCCTCCTTCTTCCCCGATCGAGACACGCCGCCACTAGACCTAATTTGTTTTCCTTCTCCGACGAGCTCCGATCACCATCCCCCGCCACCACGACATCGCCGACGGCCCCCCTTGCATCTGCGACCAACGATGACGCAAGCAACACGGACAGAGGCAACGAATTGGATGAGGGCAGCAGCCTCCGGCGACTCCCTCTGTTCCGGCGAAGTCCAGCAGCGACGGGGAAGGGCGATGTCGCGAGGCCAGTCGACGGCAACGAATGGTCTCCACCGGAGGGCGACCTCCATCTTTGGCGGAGAATTTCCGGTCAGACATAGGGGTGGTGGTGATGATCTCCACCGGCGACGAGGGTAACAGCGTCGACAAGGGGGGGAGTGGCCTCCATCTTTTCCGGCGAAACAGTGGGGAGTCCAGCGAGCCTCCTCGGCTCCGGCGAAAATAGCAGCGACGGCGTCTAGACGGCATGCCGGCGACGGCTTCTGGGCAGCGACTCCGGCGATATCTGCTATATCTGCAATGTCTCTTTTCACTACCCAATCGCCAACTGGAGTTGTAAGTTTCCTTCTAGTTTCAATCGGATCTGTTAAGTAAATGTACATGTTGCTAGGTTTTTCTCATTAAAGCCTAATTGTTGTGGATTTATGGAAAGCTACAAATTCTACATCTACCGTGACTTAGCTTTGATTGTGAATAGATGTCTACTGCGGCAGAGCATGCTTAATGAGACTGTTTGACTCATTAGAGTATATTAAGGTCTAATTTATGAACTATTCAGGATAATTGTTGGAGTTGTTTTAAGGTCATGTGTGTGTTTTAGCATATTCATAGGTGATATCTTCTATTGTAAATTTTACAGGCCATAACCTCATCAGGGTCAAAGAAAGGAGGTCGATTTGTGGCTGATCTTAATATTAAGCTTAAGAGCAAAAAGATTACCACAGATATCAAAGTTGATAGCAACTCAAATGTGAGTCTCTCCTTATACATTTGATTCACATATATATAATACATGCATCGCTTGCCTTGTTAGGTTAATCCTTTGTTTAAAATTTCAAAGGAGAGGAGTGATATGTTCACGTATGATATATCTGTCAGTGTACTTAAGTTTATAACGAGCAGATTAGCGGCCTTTTGTCTACATCATCTCCATCTTCATCAAAGAAGTATATATTCATTATCCCCTACTTTCATTTTAAATACATTGATGTTTTCTTCAAGTTAATCTCCTCTAACTTTTTTTTTGTTTTCAGATTGGAGATTAAACAAGCTTCTGAAGGGTTTCACTACATACCGGGAATAGTAGAAGCTAGAGTTGAAAATATTAATGAAGTATGGGGTGTGTTGCAGGCTGGAAGCAGTGCACGGGCTGTGGGATCCAACAATGTGAATGAGCATAGTAGCCGTTCTCACTGATTCAGTGCTGGATGTTATTGAGGGGACAAATAACTAAATTAGGCATGCTCAATGGACAATTAGAATGTGATTTTAATTATGTAAATATCAAATTTGTATGTATTTAAATATTATTCAATATATTGTACATTTTGGAATTTATTTTTGTTTCATAATCAATATTTTAGAATTGAAATAAATTTTAATTAATAAATATAATTTTAAATTGAAATATAGTAGTCTTTCTAAATCTTTAAAGGATGACTACACAAACTTGTATTGTTTATAAACGTTAGACAATTTAATCAAACAGTTGTATGAAATACAACAAATAAAGTTGTTTACATCTTAAAAATACAACACATAATAGCAGTTGTTTTATGCAAACATAATTAGTTGTCTTCGGTGCAGTAGTCTGATTTATAATCTGACTAGTGTGTAAAAAGATAGTTTGAATATTTCAAAGACAACTACAAAAAAGAACAGTGTTATTGAATACTATATAGCTGAAAGAAACAGTTGTTTAGAATACAACAAAATTAGTAGTCCATATTATAGAAATACAACAAAAGATAACAGTTGTCTGATATTATTTTTGTTTAGTAGTCTTCCGAGCAGCAGTCTGATAAATCTTTCAATTACTCTTTAAAGTAGATGTCTATATTGTTGAACGACAACACCAAGAATTAGGAGTCTGAAGTTAAAAACAACAGTAGTATTCATTACAGATAGACAACAAAAAATCACAGTTATCTTTAACTCTAAAAAACAGATGTCTTACTCATACGGGGACAACACTAAAAAGTGGTACTCTAAAACATTACAAAACAGGTATCGTCAACCATTTTACACAATTGTTTTTAAACAATAGTTTATAAGTATATCAGACAGCTGCTCGGAAGACTATTGAAATCAGCACCGAGAGACTACTAAAAGAAACAGTTGTCAGCATCTGTTTTTGACGTAGTGGGTCCTTCTAGAACAAAAAGCTTTAGTGGCAATTACTTTGCATTTGTGATTGTCGATGACTACTCTAGGTTTACATGGACCTTGTTTCTAACTCATAAAAGTGAGGCATTTCACGTTTTCAAAAATTTCTTAAAGAAAGTTCAAAATGAAAAAGAAACAACCATAGTAGCCATAAGAAGCGACCATGGGGGAGAGTTCGAACGAAATCTGTTTTCAGATTTGTGTGACGAACTTGGCATTGATCATAACTTCTCAGCCCCACGTACACCACAACAAAATGGAGTGGTGGAATGTAAAAACCGATGTCTCGAAGAGATGGCTAGAACTATGATCAATGAGGCAAAAATCCCTAAGTATTTTTGGGCGGATGCCGTGAGTACCGCGAGCTACGTGTTAAACCGAGCCGTCATTCGACCGATACTCATGAAAACGCCCTATGAACTATACAAAGGGAGAAAGCCAAACCTTTCCCATCTTCGAGTCTTTGGTTGAAAATGTTTTATTCACAACAATGGCAAAGACACACTATAAGAAAACTATCAATTTGCAACGGACAATTTCCGTGGCAGATTTTGAAATTTCGTGGCAGATTAGAAATCTGCGACAGAACTGCAACGAATATTCTCCGTCGCAGAAAAGTTGTGGCAGATTGAAGATCTGCGACGGAATTAAGTTTCCGTGGCAGATCTGCCACGGACTTGCAACGGGTACCTTCGTATTTTGCACCCCAAATATCTGCGACGGAAGTATTCAAACCGTCGCAGACCTGCGACGGAAGTAGCGACGGATATTTCCGTCGCAGACTGGCGACAAAACGCAGCAACAAGAAATTCCGTCGCAGACAACCTGATCACAGCACCAGCATTTACTATTTTTTCTGTTTTTAGGCAGTAGCAGGGGCAACACATTCAAATTTCACACGCATAATTCTAAACAAAATTTCAATATGGAATATATGATTCAAAACGAGATTAATTAAACCTTCACGTGCAAATGTAACATAATTCACAATCTTGTAAAAACACGAAATATTAAAGTGCTTGTTTCAAATGTCAAAGATGTCAACAAATCCCGGGCTGTCCCGCCCCTCCCATTCCATCGTCATTGCCTCGTGGAGGAAGATTACCACCATATAACTTCCTTATTTCCTCCTGAATCGTCAGCGACAAGTTTGAGGTTAGATTATCAAGTTGTTCCTGCAGCCTTTGGTTTTGCTCTTTAAGTGCTGCCATCTCCACCGCGCTGCTGCTACTAGTGCTGGAACGGCGAGGTTTGGAGGATGGATTGACCTTCTTCATTTCTCGTGCATAGTCACCAACTCCAGGAACACGGTTCTTTGCGTTATGGCCCTCGACTACCGAGTACCATATTTCTTCGTCGATGACTTTAAGTCCATTTTGCCTAGCCTCCTCGCGCAGTTTGAAGAATTGTGCCTGCAATATATGATACTTAATAACTCACAATAACAACGTAACTATAATAGCATGTCAAGAACAACAATAACAACATGAACAACATCAAACAACACAAGTCATGGTCAAATGACAACAACAACAACACCATCAACGCAACAACAAAAACAGTGTCATTTGACAACAACAACAAAAACAACAATAACAACACAAGAACTTAACAACATTATCATGGATCGATAAGAAACGTAATATCTAGCTAGACGTCTCGTCTTATGACACACCTTGCACTCCGTAAGACGTTCATCGTCTCTCCAATATAACATGCATCCAAGAACACAACAATGAATCTTTTGGACCGGAAGACCCAAACCTTCAATCATCTTTTTAGTTTCATAAAAGTCATTCACCATTGAGTTGTCCTCTAGAAGAATGTCTTTGATGTATTGACATATGGTGTCGTAACAACGCTCGGATAGATTATGCTCTGACTTAATATTCAACAAGCGTGCAACTGCAGACAACTGAGACGTCTTAGAACTCCCCGGCCAAAGATCTGTATCAGCAGCTTTCAACATTTCGAAGAATTGCTTGTCTGTCGAATTCGGCTCTTCTTCAAGAACAGAGTTGGTCCTAGTCGGGCCGACTGCATCATAAATCATGTGTACAAACTGTTCTCTACCCGGGACCTATGATACATCTGAGGCATCAGCTTGACGAGGGACTTTACAACGTTGTGGAGGTACGTAGTCACCATGATTCTCCCTGTGACATACCCAATTAAAATAATTGAGGGTGAATCCAAACCGCAAAATGTGCTCTAGCATATTCTTTGATGAGAAAAACTTGATGTTCTTACATTTCTTGCAAGGACATCGCATTTTCTTGTTATCTAACTTATCGACATTGGGACTTGACTCACAGTACTCTACAAACTCAACCACGTTGTCCACCCATTCTTGACTAACAACACCTTCTCTCTCATATTTCTTATACATCAACTCACAATTTTCGAATGGACTCATTTTAGAAACGCCTGGTAATTGAAAAGCAGCAAACAACAATCATTTAACCAAGAATATTAACCACATTTATTACGAACAAATCATGGCAAAAATAAAGGCAGATAACAAACGACAATCTTATTAAACCACAAATAACAATCATTTAACTACAGATATGTACGTATAATGCACTCAATATCACAAAATTCAACTAAATTTTACCTAAATTCTCAATAAACGCCAAATTCACTAATACAATTTCAACAAAAATTATACCTTAAATGTCATCAATTTCACCAAAAAGTAATGCAATTTTATCCAATTTTATGTCAATTTCATCTCATATTCACATAATTTCAACTAAATTTCACCAAAAATGTACTCAATTTCACACAAACAAATTCAATTTTACCAAAAATTACAAAAATAATAATAATAATAAATTGTATAAAATTAAACAAAAATACCTCCAAGTTCACGGCAAAGAGGAAGAGGAGGTCCGGCGGGGAAGAGAGACGGCAGGCGGTGGAGTACAATCGGCGGCGGCGGAGAGGGGTGGTGACGGCGCGGCTACGGGGACGGCGTGGCTAGGCGGAACGGCGTGGCTGGCGAGGACGGTGTGGCTGGCGAGAACGGCGTGGCTGGCGAGGGCGGCGTCGGCGGCGAGGACAGGCGTTGACGGGTGGCGGAGGGCTGGCGTTCGAAGGAAGGCTGACGGAGAGAGAACGGGGGTTAGGGTAGAATGACGGATGAATGGCTGGGAAATAACCAATCTGATTTTTAATAATCATCTGCGACAGATCTGCCACAGAAACTAAAGTCCGTCGCAGATAACCAGGTCAAAAATTGACCATGTTTAATTTGCGACATGTTACAATCTTCCGTCACGGATTTGCGACGGAGAAATAAAATCCGTCGCAGATGCTCCGTATCTTTCAGAAATTAAACTTCCATCGTGGATTCATTGCAGATCTGCTACGGTAAGTGTTTCGTAGCAGATTTCCGTTGCAGACCAGATAAATTCTTGTAGTGACAATTTAGGCAAATTTGATGCCAAGTCGGATGAAGGAATTTTTCTGGGTTACTCATTACGTAGCAAGGCCTATAGAGTCTTCAATAAACGTACCTTGACTATTGAGGAGTCTCCTCACGTTGTATTTTCCGAAGATAACCCTCGCTTGGCGAGAAAGGATGTTTGTGATGATCTTGCAGATTCATTAGAGAGAATACATGTTGATGACGATGAAGACAACACGGGAATATACATCAACACACAGCCGCAAACTGGGGAGACACCTCAAACGACTAACCAAGATGAGGAAGAAAACCAGGAGGAAGAAGAAGAACAAGAAGAACACGAAGAAGAAGCAACCGAGCTTCGCATAGCATGGAGAAAAAACAAGAACCATCTGCTTGACCAGGTAATCGGTAGCATCAACCGCGGGGTAAGTACTCGTAACTCACTTAGGGACACCGTTGGACACATGGCTTTTGTTTCTCAAATTGAACCTACAACCATTTCCGAAGCAATAAACGATGAACATTGGACCTTGGCTATGCAAGAGGAGCTAAACCAATTCAAACGAAATGACGTTTGGGAATTGTTGCCAAGACCCGATGATCGTACGGTTATTGGTACGAAATGGGTGTTCCGTAACAAACTTGATGAAAATGGAATAATCACTAGAAACAAAGCTAGGATCGTAGCTAAAGGCTACAATCAAGAATAAGGCATTGATTTCGAAGAAACTTATGCACCCGTAGCACGTTTAGAAGCTATTCGTTTACTTCTTGCTTTTGCTTCGTCTATGGATTTTAAACACTATCAAATGGATGATAAGAGTGCCTTCCTCAATGGTTTTATTCAAGAGGAAGTGTATGTTGACTAACCCCCGGGGTTTGAGGACTTTGAGTTTTCCGATCATGTCTTCAAACTCAAGAAAGCGCTCTACGGTCTTAAACAAGCACCACGTGCTTGGTACGAACGTTTGAGTAAATTTCTTTTGGATAGAGGTTTCCAAAGGGGAAAGGTTGACACTACACTTTTTATCAAGAGTAAAAACAATAACATCCTTTTGGTTCAAGTTTATGTAGACGATATTACATTCGGTGCTACTAACGAGTCTTTATGCAAGGAATTCTCAACGTTAATGACAAGCGAATTTGAGATGTCCATGATGGGTGAGCTTACATTCTTTTTGGGACTCCAAGTCAAGCAAATGAAAGATGGCACGTTCATTTGCCAAACCAAATACTACAAGGAGCTCCTAAAACGATTCGAAATGGAAAACGCCAAAGTAATGGCGACCCCGATGAGCACGTCTAACCACCTAGACAAAGACGAAAAAGGTAAGGAAGTTGAAGTCAAAAAGTATCGAGGTATGATCGGATCCCTTCTCTACCTTACCGCTAGCAGGCCAGATATCATGTTTAGCGTATGCCTTTGCGCAAGGTATCAATCATGTCCGAAGGAATCGCACTCAACGGCGGTGAAACGAATCATGAAATACCTTGTAGGCACGGTTAACGTTGGACTGTGGTATCCAAAAGGCTCTTCGTGTCATCTTGTTGGTAACTCCGACTCGGACTTTGCCGGTTGCAAATTGGACCGCAAAAGTACGAGTGGGACTTGCCACTTACTTGGTAGCTCTTTAGTTTCATGGTTTAGCAAGAAACAGGTCAGTGTTGCGTTATCCACAACCGAAGCGGAATACGTTGCCGCCGGTAGTTGTTGTGATCAAACTCTTTGGATGAAGCAACAACTTGTGGACTATGGCCTTAGTATCAGTCACGTTCCACTTCGGTGTGACAATACTAGTGCCAAAAGCTTGACGAAGAACCCCGTTCTTCATTCAAGGACGAAACACATTGAGATTAGGCACCATTTCATTAGAGATCATGTTCTCAAAGGTGATGTCGAAATTGAGTTTGTTGAAACACACAACCAATTAGCCGACATTTTCACAAAACCTTTAGAGAAAGAGTCGTTCTTCCGCATTCGTAGTGAACTCAGAATCCTTGACTCCACGATGATCTAATTTGTGCATTTTATCACTCTTTTATCTTTGTTTGAATGTTTACTAACTTGAGCGTCGGAGGGTTTTCTAACTCTTTTTTGCAGGGACGATTCGAAGTGAAGAATTCTGGAAATCAGGAGGAACCAGCGATGGGTGGGCTATACCATCGCTGGGAGGGAAGTTTTCTTTTTTCAGAACCCCTCTTCCCATCGATGGGTGCTTCTTCCCATCGATGGGTAATTGACTGTATTTTTTTTAAAAACCTTTTAACGTTTTCCAGAAACACCTTACCCATCGATGGGTATTTCACCCCATCGCTGGGTGAAGGACCTTTGCCAAATTTTTTTCTTCAGAACCTTCCCTCCCATCGATGGGAACTTTGTCCCATCGCGGGGTGTTTGACACTTTTTTTTAAACGTTTTATCGGATTTCCAGTAGCCACCTTCCCATCGATGGGTGAGTTTTACCATCGCTGGGAAGGCAGCCTTACTTTCTCCTTCGCCTTCCAGTAGCGCTCTTCCCATCGATGGGAAGATCTACCCATCGCTGGGAAGGCTGGTGAAATTCAAAATTTCTGAACCGTTGGAGACAACATTTATGGCCCAACAGCTCTTTTTTCAAAATTCAAACGGGATTTCCTCCTCTCCCTATAAATTCCCTTCACCCTTAGTCATTTTAAACACACTTTTATCTTCTCTAATTGCCTTGCTCAAGTCTATTCTACTCAACTCATTCATTTTTTTTCTACACGCCACAACCATGGCCGGAGGAAAAAAGAGCAAGTCATCGAAGAAGAAGGTCACCGCCGAGGCCACGAGCTCTGCGCCTCAACCTTTCCCGTACCTGGACGGATCCTTCTTGGAGTTCGGGTCGGAAGAGGAACTCTCTTGCTTCATCACCCACTTCGCCAAATGCCCCATCTCTCCGCCAAAAGTGCTGCCCGAGCTGTACCCTCAACAAAAGGGGTACCACGACCTCGACAAACAACTCAAAGAGTCGGGTTTATGGCCGTTCGTCTCCAGAATCCGTCAGTCCTATAATCCCGCCTACGTCCGGGCTTTCTACTCCAATCTCCGCCGGGACGGGGACACCATTCGCAGTAGCATCAATCTCTACGACATAGAGATTGATTTGGCTACCTTCGCTCGGGTCGCAGGGCTGCCCACCCGCGGTGACGACATCGCAACATATGGCGGCGATGATTGGATCCTCAACAACGAGGCGGTGGTCATCCGAGAGCTTGGAATCACCAACCTTGTCCGTCACAGCGGCGCACCAACCATTCACTCAGCCCCACCGGAGAAGCGTCTTCTACTCTACATCCTCACCCGGATTCTTCGCCCCCGGGATGGTAGCCACACGTGTCTCTTCAACGAGGATCTCAAGGCCGTTCATGCTATCACCCATGGCGCCTCGATCAATTGGGTGAAATACGTCATGATTCACATGGCGGACTGCGCCTCCATTACCAACGAGCGGAGCTTGCCATACGCCTTCCTCGTCATGGATCTCATTGTTGCATCCGACATTCACATCGCCGGCCCGGACACGAAGATGACGAAGATTTGGATCATCCAAGACAGCACCTTCCAGAAGAAGTCCGGTGACAGAACCGGCGCAGGACCTAGTCGCGCTCCAGCCCCCGCTCCCGCCAAGGCCTCTTTACAGTCCATAGCCGATACCCTGAATCGGCTAACCATCACTGTGGATGGCATGGGCCAGTACTTGGAAAGGATGGACTCGACGCTGCAACGCCAACACCACGACATGACGGCGTTTTTCCGCGGCATCAACTACGTCCCGCCGCCCTTTGACACCACCTTCCTTGGCCAGAACTATGAAGGCGAGGACGAGGAGGATAACTCCTATGCTCCGTCCTCCTCCCCCGACGAGGCCGAATTTGAAGATGCGGTCGACGGGGATGCTATGGACGTCGAGGACGATGAAGAAGATGATGACGCCGAGGAAGAGGACGCCGATTCCTAGACTCTTCCTTCTCTCCTTTCCCTACTTTCATTGCAATTTTTTAAATCTATTTCAAATCTGTTGTATTCAGCATTTTCTCTTCCTTTAATGAATAAAAGTTTACTTTTAATTCCTAAAGTTCACTTTTAATTCTTTTTGTTAATGTCAAAAGGGGGAAGATATCAAGGTTATGCATAAATTGAGGGGGAATTTTTTTAATAAAATGGCATCTATTAAGGGGGAACATTTTTTAAGTCTCAAGACTTCCTCATATGCATAACCTCATCTCGTTTGCCATTATCAAAAAGGGGGAAATTGTTGAAACACGGGCATGTCACGTTTTCGTACTAAAGCCGTGTTTGTTTTTATGACAGGTTTTGATAATGCCAAACCGCCGTGATCAAGTCAAACATTGAATATACAAGACGAAGAATGAAGAGAAGAACAAGAGCTAAAATATGACCAAGAACGTAGACCTTAGTCTTAGTGTCGTTGAGTCGGTCTTCATTGTGATCAAGACCGACCCAATCTTTACACCTTGGCTCTTTAGGCTAAAATCCTTCATTGCATTTCTTACATCATAAAAATGTTTTTCAAACTTGTTTAAGTCATTAAAAACACTTGGTGTTCGCCCAAACCAAGAACCAAGCCATCCAACGTTCGGGTTTCAGAAACCGGCGTTTGGCTCTCGGTTATCGGCATTGGTTTTTGGCGTCCGAATCAACCGAGTGGTTTTCAACTTTTTATGATTGGTTTTCACTCCTTGGCATGTCTAAACGGTTCTCCAACAAAAACACTTTGAAAACCATCTTTCGCTTTAGGTCGTTTGACAAAAATCATTCAAAACGGCATAAACTTGGCTAGCCGTGTTTTTCACTCAAATGACGTGGTTTTTAAAGTGTCTTACTTGATTTCTTAGCCAAATACATCAAATAAGTGTTTTAAACACTTGGTTTTTATTTTGGAGAACTTTGGATTTTTCGGTCGGTTTTCTGCATCGGTAGGCTAGGCCGTGGTTAAGCCAAAAACCATGGGTTCTTGACTAACCACCCACCCAGCAATGGGAAGATCTTCCCATCGATGGGTAAGCGGTCCCTTAGCCAAACGAATTTCCAGAACCATGCAAAACAGCGATGGGAAGTTCTACCCATCGCTGTTCAAGCCTTGGTACAAAATTAACACAAGGCAGAACCACCTTGCCCAGCGATGGTGAGGATAAACCATCGATGGGAAGGGATGACCGTTGTAGGTCATTTAAGGTTGATTCTTTCCTTGTTTGGAAGTCAACCTCCCACCCAGCGATGGAAAGCTTGTACCCATCGATGGGTAGGTAACCGTTGGCTTCAAAACTGAAGGAAAATTGGCTTACCAGCGATGGGTAAGCTCCAAACATCGATGGGAAGCCAATATCATGCATATCCCAAATCTTTTCAATCCCATAAATCAAGCTAATCACCCCTTTAATGCTTTAGTCCGTTGGAGCCTATTTTGGGTGATATTTTTCCCCACAAACCCAGACGAAAAGAGTGGTTAAGTGAAGTGTTGTAGATATGAAAGTAACGTAAGTTTATAGTAGTAAAAGGTATCGAAAGATCTCGGTAAAACACACTTCCAACTCAACAAGAACTCGCATGAATCAAATGAGTATTAGATGAGATATTCTCTCAGAGCAAGAACTCACATGAACACATCTTAGACACGTTGAGAGAAAGTATTTCTCTCGGTTGATTCAAAGGAAGGGCTGTTTCCTTTGAAGGATTCGTTGAGGTTCGTGTGACTCGAACTCTCAAGTTGTAACGGTTTGTTAAGCACCCGCAAGCTTAACGAGATAGTAGTGTAGCTCGAGAGAGTCTCTCGGGAGGCTGGATTAGCCACAAGTTGTGGTGAACCAGGGTAAAATTCGGTTTGCCTTTTACTCTTCTCTTTACTTCTCTTTTAATTTTTTAATTCCTGCGATTTCTCCGATCAAACACTATTCACCCCCCCTCTAGCGTTGGTCTATTATTCTAACAATAACCCTTCCCAGCTTGAATCCTTTCGTATTAAACTCAACTTCTGTCATAGTCTTGGATCCCAAAATAATAAGAAATGGATCTTCTGGAACGAGTCATGCTTTAAACTCATCTCCTACTCAAATTTCCCTCAAGTAACCACTTGCCTTTTCACCCTTCAAATGGATTACTCTCCCATTATGATTTCTGGGGTTTACGGTGCCCACATGATCTCTGCTAGGAAGGATCTCTAGGAGGAACTTTCTACTATTTGTCCCTCCAACAAACGCTGGATAGTTGGCGGGGATTTTAATGCCATTACCTCACCACATGAGTCAAAAGGATCCTGCCCTCCAAACCAACATAGTATGGAGGATTTCAACTCCTGCATCCTCCACTGCAAACTCATCAATCTAGATCCCATTGGTAGTACCTTCACATGGTCAGGTTTATGCTCCCAGGGCAGGACCTGGCGTAGACTAGACAGAGTAATGATTCACCTGGATCTTCTTGCCTTCTTTCAAGATGTGGAGCTTCATCACCTTGCCAAAGCCAACTCTGATCACAAACCCATTTTCCTACACTGTAATGACCAGATTCCCAATACTCCCAAGCCTTTCAGATTTCTAAACACCTGACCCTTCATGAGAACTTCCTCCATAATGTCAAGCTAACTTGGGAAAATTCCCCTACCATTGGAGGGATGAGAGGTCTCCTTCAAAAACTTAATGCTGTGAAGCACACCCTGAAGAAATGGAATAAAGATAGTTTTGGAAACATTCACTCTAAACTCAAAGAAGCTGAAGCAAGGGCCAACCAAAGCCAAAAAGAATTCGAGGACTTCCCAAATGAGGAAAACAAAACTGCTGCTCAAAGGGACAATGCTGCACTCATCCTTGCCACGAACATGGAGATGGAATTTTGGAGGCAAAAAGCTCAAATCAGATGGCTAGACAAGGGAGACTCTAATACCAAGCTCTTCCAAGCTTTTGCAAAGGGGAAAAGAAAGAAGCTTCAAATTTCTCACATCATAAATGGGAATGGCAAGGGGCTCATTAACATGGATGAGATCAAACAAGAAGCTATCAGACATTTCCAGAACCAATTCTAAGCTCCAGCAACTTACATTCCTGATTTGGGCAATATTCTGCCCTATATCCCATCCCTCATCTCAATTGAAGACAACCTTTTGCTCACTAAGCTCCCAGATTTGGCTGAGGTAAAAGCAACCGTTTGGGACCTGGACCCTGACAGCGCCAGTGGCCCGGATGGCTTTAATGGTAATTTTTTTAGGGTTTGTTGGGATATAATCCAACAGGATGTTCTCACTACCTCTCAAGAATTCTTTCTCGGCCTCCCAATTCCAAAAGGATATGGCAGTACCCTCATCACCTTGATTCCTAAGAAAGAAGATCCAAAACGGTTTGATGATTTTAGGGCCCATCTCCCTCTCAACTTTTCTCAACAAAATTAATACTAAACTCCTTGCCAACAGACTTAAATTGGTACTACCCAAACTCATCTCATCAGAAAAAGGAGCTTTCCAGAAAGGCAAGTCCATTGATGACCATATTCTCCTTGCTCAAGAAGCCATACATGGACTAGATAGAAAGGTTTTTGGGGGTAACCTTATGATCAAAATAGACATGGCAAAAGCTTTTGACTGTATGAACTGGAACTTTCTTGAAGGCACTTTTAGAAAGTTTGGTTTCTCACAAGTTACAAGGAAGCTATTAATGGCAAACCTCTAGAGTTCTTTCATTTCTGTCCTCATCAATGGTGAACCTCACGGTTTCTTCCCCATGACCAGAGGAGTTAAACAAGGCGATCCCCTCTCTCCACTTCTTTTCATACTAGGGTTTGAAGCCTTCTCCAGATACCTAAACCACTCCATGGAGAGCAACACTATCAAGCGTTTCAATTTGGGAAATGTCTAGATGCCCAGCCATCTCATTTACGCTGATGACTTGATGATCTTTACAAAAGGGGACATCCTCAACCTTCTTAAACTTAACCAAATTCTTAAAGTTTTTATGCAGGCATCAGGGCATTAGATAAACCTCTCAAAAAGCAGATTCTACACTCCAAAATCCACCACTGCGGATCAACAAGTCAAGATGGAAAAAGCCCTGTCCATGAAGTGTGGAAGCCTCCCCTTTACCTACTTGGGAGCCACCTTATGTAGAGGTATTCTCAAAAAAGAAGACTGTGATTCTCTCTTGGACCATGTATACAAACATCTCTCCTCCTGGTATAGCAAAACCCTCAATCAAATGGGAAGACTTATTCTCATTAAACATGTCCTCTCCTCCATCCCACTCCACCTTATTTCCGTCCATTCCCTCCCAAAATCCATCATCAAAACGGTCAATTCCCTTATGGCTAACTTCCTTTGGGGCCAAAGGAATGGCAGGGCTAAATACCACTGGAGGAACTGGAACTTCACTTGCCAAAACAAGAACGTTGGGGGCCTCGGGATTAGGAGTATTAGGCTCTTTTATAGTCTTTAAATTCCCTTACATTTACTAATCTTAGGGTCACCATTAGTGAGAATTTGGTTTAATTTAAGATCAAGAAAGAACGTTGACCATCCTAGAGGTTAGAGTGCAATTCTTGTGTTATTTTAGGTCCTTTGGGTTAAATGTTAGAATCGGGCTAGACGACCCGAAGTGAAAATAACCAACCCGGCCCATTAGTTAGTATGAGACTTAGGGCGTTGGTGAGAGAGGGGAGTTACGCGAGAGAGGAGAAAGGAACGAGAGAGAGAAGGTGAGATCGAAGGTTCACCGGGAGAAAAATTCCAGCGACCAGGCATAATCCGACGAGTTAGACCTCGGGATCATCATCAACCGTCACACAATCACCAAGCGCTTCTCCTGATCAGGCACTGTAACCGAACAGAGGAGTCATCACGTTCGTAGGATTTGATCCTCGAACGCTGTCCAGAGGTAATTTGTTGTTTTTGTTTCCAAATTCGAGATACATTTTTAATATTTGAGGATTGTTTGAATTGTTGATTCATAACTAAACGTGTGATTTCGTGCTATTCAAATCTGAGTCCTAATCTCTTATTTGGACAATATTTTTCTGTGATCATGTGTTTAAATTGTGAATCGATTATCATGATCATGTCCCGAGAGTAATCTCTCTCTTGTCTGGTGGAAATTTAGGATCAGTTCTCAGGCATTTGTGATCGTTGCAATGATTCGCGGTTTAGACTATTGTTGAAGGTTGTTTAATCTTGTTTCGTGCTCAGCTTTTCAAATCTGTTGATTGTAGGTCTCATGCCTCAATTATTCAGTCAGAAATTCTTAATTGGGGTCCAACAACTGGCATATAGTGTAGTTGGCTGTCCAAGTACATTGTATGTTCAAAAGGTTTTTATAATTGAATTCATGCTTATGTTAATTTGCATCAGGCTCATCCTGAGGTTATTAATGTAGGTACAGGTCCTTAGGCAGTGCTCATCTCTCTTAAGGGCTGATTTTTGAGGTGGAGATTTAGTTTCTTGCTGAGAGAGCTAAATCTCACTTTTGTTCAACAACTTGTCTAACTGAGAATCTGAATTTTTTTACCTTGATGTGAACAACTATTCCTAATTCCACCAGACAAGCTTGCTCACTCGATTTGATAACCACAAATCTTTACCTGATCTTCTCTCTCCTACTTTGATCTGTTCGCATTGTTTCTGTTAGAATCTGTTTTCATTACGTAGCATTAGCATCTTATGAACAACCCCCCCTTGTGTGTGTGTGTGTTGTGAAACTGAGCAATAAATCAAGAGAAGAAATAATAGAAGACAAATCTCCCAGTGGAAGAATGACCCTACTTACCACTTTGCTACCATTTTTATAAGTGTGTAGTATTTGGGGAATAGGTTAATTTGTTGTCACCTGACAAGTGGCTAACAAATTTTGGCGCTGTTGCTGGGGAGATTTGATCTCTTCTATCTTTTCTAACTGTCATACTAGGTCTTTATAAGTTGTTTTTGTGAACATCTGTGTCTTTTATACAGTGATAAAAATTCACTAAAGTGCAAGCTCTTCTTTTCTGCTGTGACTCATTGCTGAGTTGGCACTAACCCTTGTTTTAAGTGTTGTGTCAGTATCTGCATTTTGATGCAGTTAAGAAGTGGTTTGGAGACCACAAGGGTAAGTGTTGAATTAAATTTGGAGAATCAGGTCAGTATATCTAAGGTTGCTACTTCTTTTGATTCTGAATTAGAATCTGAAACTGAGGTAATTGTTTCTCCTATCCAATCACATAATAACATGGCAACTTTAAGTGAACTAGCTGCACCTGACCTTCAGACCCAGCCCATGTCCATTACTTATGCTGTTTTGGAAAAGCCATTGAAATTAAACTCTGGATTTTTGAATATGCTTCCCAAGTTTCATGGCCTGCCTGGTGAAGACCCTTATAGACATGTTAATGAGTTCCTCATAACATGTGGAGCCATGGAACCTGAAGGAGTTCCTCAAGAGAAAATAAGACTTAGGGCCTTTCCCTTTTCAGTGATGGACAGAGCAAAAGATTGGCTGTACTATATGCCTCCTGGGTCTTTTACAACCTGGCCATCACTGCATAGGGCATTCTTAGAGGAGTTCTTTCTTGCCTCTAGAATAGGATCTATTAGGAAGGACATCTGTGGGATAAAACAAATGGGGAATGAATCATTTTCTGAATATTGGAAGAGATTCAATAAACTCTGTGCTAGTTGTCCTCAGCATCAAATCTCTGAACAGCTGCTCATCCAGTACTTCTATGAAGGGTTATCCATAATGGATAGAAGTATGGTAGATGCTGCTAGTGGTTGTGCTCTAGTTACTAAGACCCCAGAGGAAGCTAAAAATTTGTTCAATCTTATATCTCAGAACACACAGCAATTTGGACTAAGGATGAATGAACCAAAAAAGGAAACTGAATCTCTTGCAGCCCTCACTGATCTGATTGCAAATCTTACCAAAATTATGGGTCAAATGGTTAGTGTGGGGGGAATCAAGAAGTTAGTTTGCTCTGTGTGTAGTCTAGAAGGGCAAACTTCAGAAATGTGTCCCAGTTTTTAAAATCAAATGTTTTCAGCTCCTGGTTTTCACTTTGAAAATTTTCAAAATTGTGAGGTCAAAGCTGCTTTTAATAATCAAGGACAGAGAAGGTATGATCCCTACTCCAATTCCTACAATGAAGGGTGGAGGGATCATCCAAATCTAAGATATGGTCCCAGACCAAATCCCCCAGGTTTTCAAAATACAAACAACAACAATTTTTCTGCAAATCTAAACAACCCTCCTGGTCCTGTTGATAAAACACACCAAATGCTGGAATTAATTTTGAAAAAAATGGAGGACAAGTTCTCCCTGGTTGATCAGAATATGAAGCTAATGCAAGAAAGGCAAACAGCCCAGGATACCTTGTTGAGTAATTTGCAGGCCCAAATTAACAACAGGTTACCTGCTCAACCATTTCCTGCTCCTAAGGAGAATGTGAGTGCTGTTGTCCTTAGGAATAACAAGGTTCTTCCCGAACCTTCCTTAGGGAATGTTAGAAGGGATCAGGAAATTATGGAAAAGGAACTTGACTCACAGAATATCCAAGAACCTGAATTGGTCAACAATAAATCTGTTGTGACTCCTGATACTCCTAGAGCAGCTTACAAACCTCAGCCACCCTTTCCCAGTAAATATCAGAATCAAAGGAAGAACAGTAAAGAACCAGATGATGAAATATTTGAAATGTTTAAAAAGGTTCAAGTGAACATTCCTCTTTTAAATGCAATAAAAAATGTTCTAAAATATGCAAAATTTTTGAAAGAGATGTGCACTAATAAAAGAAGGCTGAAAGGGGATGAGAGGGTAAACATTAGTGAAAATGTATCTGCCATCTTTCAAAAGAAACTTCCACAGAAATGTCAGGATCCTGGTGTGTTTTCTGTACCTTGTAAGATTGGAAATTTGGAGAATACCAAGGCTTTACTTGATTTAGGAGCATCCATCAATGTCATGCCTAGGGAGTTATTTGACCAGTTGGGGGTAGGAGAACTAAAAGAGACTGGGGTAGTTATTCAACTTGCTGACAGGAGTTTGACTTACCCTGAAGGGGTGGTTGAGGATGTTTTAGTCCAGGTCAATGACATGCTCTTTCCTGCTGACTTTTAT